TCTTACTGAATGCCAAACTTTAATGTTAGACTCAATAGTAAATTCTATTGATGCTAACAAGTGCACAAATATTAGTAAACATTTAGAATATGTTACTGAACAAATTAAAAATAGCCTTGAAATACTTGATAATATTGTATTTTTCCTTGCACATCTTAAACGGACGACCCTAATACCAACAGCTCAACACCCCCATTGAATTCAAGCCAAAATTAATAAATGAACTTTTAGAAAATTATATGACTTTACTACTCATCTATGAAGACATCAAGATATTAGTTCAACAACACAATCTACCAATAACCTGGCCAGCTTTGCCGCATGACTTACCTGTCCACCCAAACTTTGGAGCTCTACTCACTTTTCGACACCAAACTCATCGGAAAGACCATCGCCTCAAACACTATAAGTATCAACACTTAAGTTCTTTATAACAAAAACTAATCATTTGTAAAATAAATAATTTCCCGTTTACATTTTTAGTATTTAACAGTTACATACCTCATTTACAGCTTTAGAAATAAATAATTCTCTAATATTCATAATTTAAAACTATCAAAATTATCCAATATTATTTATATTATCTCATTTATGATATATTGAATAAGCTATTGATTCAGTGATATTTTAATTAATATTATTAAATACTGACAACGTTATCACAATCAAACGTATTTCTCATGAAATTTCGTTCAAAGATTAATTAAAGTACAGTATATTTAAATTCCTAGAAATTGCTTATTAATTCACTTCATTGGCCTTTATGTCCTTGTTAAAACAATAGAAGATCGCATACAGAGACATGAGATGGAAAAAGATAACAGCAGAAGAGATTATATACTAAACTCAAAAACTAACGACTCAGCTGCCAGGGACATTTAAAAAACCTAAGACAAGACGATTGTGTAATAAGTGCCAAGAGTACAATCGTGAGATGAAAGATTGCCCACAGAATGACATGATTCTATACTTAGGGCCATTGTAATTTAATATGTCAAAATTATCCAAAATATTTTGTAAACTATGCAAAAAATTAGTAAATTATATTAATTTTAATATAACAATTATTTTTAAATAATGTCACTAGTGCATTTAAAACAACTTATTCCCAATGCACTTACAATAAGCACAATGTACTCAATGTTATATTGAAATTACTATAGTAACTAGCGCAATTATACAGTCTGTTGTTAATGTCATTGATACTCATCAAGGTTAAGGCAGTAGTATTATATAATATAATAATAAAAAGGCTGTATATAAAAGTAAAATGTAGATAACTTTAAAACTTAAATTGTGTTAAAATTTTTATACGAACTCAAAAATAAAATGTTTTAAATTTTTAATTATAGTTTTGACAATAGTTTGTGTGAATAGCGATGAAAATGTGGACACAATTAGCGTTCACATCAAAAACGGCTTAATTAATGGAAAACGACAGACATATGAGGGCCGGGATTTAGACGTGTTTTTAGGCATTCCTTATGCACAGCCGCCTATCGGAGACTTACGGTTCAAAAAGCCCTTACCGTTGGACCGCAAATGGGAACAACCATTGGATGCCCAACACTGGCCACCGGCGTGTTATCACTTCAAAATACACCAAGATTACTTTAATCATAATATGAGTGAAGATTGTTTATATTTAAATATATGGTCACCAGTCAACCCCAAATCTACCGGTGCTCTCAAACCTGTCATGTTTTGGATACACGGAGGGGGACTCATAATAGGGGCTCATCGGTCGAGAAGTTTTACTCGGGGGAAGTCCTATCAGCACTGGGAGACGTAGTCGTAGTCACCATTAACTACAGACTCAACGTATTTGGACTCTTATATACCGGCGCTGAGGGTCCGGCGCCGGGAAATATGGCTCTTTGGGATCAGTCGGTGGCACTCGAGTGGGTCGTCGACAACATCCGCTACTTCGGTGGCGATCCCCAGAGGGTAACACTATTTGGCGAGAGTTCGGGTGCCATATCGACATCCCTGCACACCCTGTCCCCCATCACACGAAACCTATTCACTAACGCTATCGTAATGTCCGGATCAGCGCTGAACGCCTTCATCACAACCCCGGACCTCATGGAAGGGCAATGGCTTCGGAGCGCCGGTAGTATCGGATGTGACACTCAGGGGAACGGGAGGTTTACGCCGGAAATAATTGCGTGTTTAATGAGTAAAACACCGGAAGAGCTGATGGCGTATATGCAGGGATTCAGTGACATGTCGGCGCTCACGTCACTCGTAATCGACGGCCAATTCATACCCGACAGCCCCCGGGAAATGCTAGCGTCGGGTGATTACAGGAAAGGTATGCACCTATTGATCGGTACTACCGGTGATGAGGGCTCGCAACTGCTGAACATGTTTAGCCCTATTAAGTACCATAAGGTTAGGCCTAAAAATATGTCCCTGAGCGAATTGGCCGGGGATTTCAGGGAATTCCTAACAGCCTTTTCACTCGATATTAATACGGATGAAGTGATAAAATTTTATTTCAACGGTCTGTCCGATGAGCAGCACCCGGATGTGTTGCGCAGACACGTGGGTCAGGCCTTTGGAGACTTTATATTAGGCTGTCCCACATTATTATACGCAAAGGCGGTCTATAAGGGTGATCCCACAGCTAATGTATATCAGTATCATTTTACGGCTAAATTAGGCGAACCCAAGCTATTCTGTTCAGAGTGGGCCGGTAGCTGTCATTTCGATGACATATACCCCGTGTTTGGACAGCCATTCCTCAATTACGACAGATATGTAGAGAGAGAGAGCGCGAGATCTCCCGACAAATGATCGATACGTTCGCCACGTTTGCGACGACTGGCCGCCCGTCCCCTCAAAACGGCTCGCAATGGCATCCCTTCTACACAATTGACGCCAATATTATTGCCCCGTATTATGAGTTCAGTAGTCATCCCAAAGTCAACACCAATTTCGGACACAATTTAAAACACAGTGAATGCGAGTTACTTTGGAAACGATACTTGGTTAATTAATAATATTTTTTGAATATATAGAACATGTAACAATATTAAAATTATTATTGATATAAAAATTGTTATTGTAAATAACAAGAATGTTGATTTAATCTTGCACCATTTTATTAATTAAAATATTAGTTGCATATGGAGACTCGTGTTTAAATTTTAGATTACAGTTGTTTTATAAAAAAATATATTGTTCATTTTTATAAATTAAAACTTAAAACAAATAATGAAATATATTATGGAAACAATTCTTGGTGAATTAATCATAAATTTTGATCAACAACAATTCATTATAAGTGCATTATACAGTAAATGCAAAATTTTAAATATCATTACTTTTAATTTAAATAAATTAAATTAATAAGTTTTACTAGATGTTTAATGTTATAAACAAGCTTGTCTAAAATTTTAATATATTCAACAGATCATGTGTAATATACAAATAGATGATCAGTAGATAAAATATTTTACCATCGCGCAAATAATTAATAATTTTAATTAATTATTATTAATCTATTTTGCTAATTATTACTTTTTAAGCATGATCAATAATGCATAAATATTATGAGCTCTCTCACTTTCGGGGTGCAAAGTAGGTACCGGGTGAAACCAATTTTTTAAGTTTAATGACTTTGCACGACTAGAATGTTATTCAAATTATAAATTACAGAAGGTTTAAAAACTGGCTTGATATTTATTTTACTAATTAAACTACAATCCACCTTCAAACTGCAAAATATAATTTTTAGTATATTTATTGTATAATATTTAAACTTAATCTCAATATTTTGGGAAACGTGATCACAACTGACCAGAATTGATATTCATTATAATAGTTATACAATTAATTAACAATATATTTCTAATTACTGTATAAATTTATTTATTTATATTAACCATGAATGACCACTACTGGACATTATAGCATAGCTTTGGTCAGTTTAGACATTATTGAATTAAGTGGTCATTTGTTATGATCTAATAACTAAATATACAATAACTGATCGCCTACGTGCATAAAACCGGTATGTATTTTTCATTGAAAACTGTATTTATAACATAACCATAGTATACATGTATATGTGATATACTATTAATGTTATGATTATGTTATGTATACAGTTTGCATTGAAAAATACATACCGGTTTTTAACACCCACACCAGTTTTTAACTTTTTAACAGTTTTTAACCAGTTTTTAACAGTTTTTTGGTTTTTAACACCAGTTACTGTCATTATGTTGACTCACAACCCTATTTTCAACCGGCAGTAGACGGTAGCCACAAGCGGTTGATACCGTGCCATAAAGGTTTGTTAAATTAAATATAAATTCAAAAACCAAAACTGTAATTTATTCAACAAAATAAGATAATCTTTTGAAGAAATAATTTTTATATTCATTAGTGGATCTAAAAATCATCAATTAAACATGAAACATTTTTATTGTATTAAAATAACTTTAATTACAATTAATTAATCAAATACTTGTTTCCAAAGTATATCGCATTCACTGTGTTTTAAATTAAGCCCAAAATTGGTGTTGACTTTGGGATGACTACTGAACTCATAATACGGGGCAATAATATTGGCGTCAATTGTGTAGAAGGGATGCCATTGCGAGCCGTTTTGAGGGGACGGGCGGCCAGTCGTCGCAAACG